CATATTTAATTGAAATGTGATTTGGTATGATTAAATTAGATTAAATAAGCTAAATTACATAAGTCGGGCCTTTTTACTAATTTGCCATCTAGTGGACTTAGCTAGGCTATTGCTTAGTCTTCAATTACATATGTTGGCATCACTTTTCCTCAGCTATTTTCTTGAGACAAACCGACCAAGAGAGAAGAGAGGGAGAGAGAGAGAAATTGAGTTCCATCTTGTGAATTGCTTGGTGAATTAAAGAAATTGAAGGTTGATTTCATAGTTGAGCTTCCTACACTTGATATTCAAGGTCTAAGGTAGATAATCCACCTTTTTAAACTTGTCTTTAAGTTAGTTCTTGCTTGATTCTTGTTATATTGAAAATTGGAGTCAAAATTAGCTTAATATGTTGAATTGAGTAGGAATTCATGCATGCATGTTGCCATTCTTGAGCTTTGAGGATTTTTGTCCATGGAATTCCACATGCATGTTCATATTATAGTTCTAGTTCAAGAATTCCTCATGATTTTGAAAGGATTGGCTCATTTGTTCTTGTAATAAAAGTCTTGAGGCTGATTAAATCTATGCATGTTATATTTTACATCATGTTCATGAGATTGGTTTGAAATTGTGTTTAATTGAACTACCTTTAGGCTTTGATTTTACAAATTGAGCTTTGAATCGTGTTATATTATGAGTTTACAAGAGTTTTCCAGAAAATTGGCCCAAGATGATCGAATTTGGTGTTTTAAAACTTGGTTTTGAGCTTGAGGTTCGAATTTGGAATTTCCAGATTTTGGACTTCCGCTCGAGCAGGGTAAGTGGCGCTCGAGCGGGAAATTCGTGCATCCAGTATTTTTGTTGTGTTTACAGTCCGCTCGAGCAGGGTTTTGCACGCTCGAGCGAGGACTTATGTCACACGCCCGAGCGGGTGTCGAGCGCCCATCGAGCGTGATTTTCACACATCCAGTACTTTTGCAGTCCGCTCGAGCGGGAAGTTTATGCTCGAGCGGAGTCTTTTGTTTGCATGTCCGCTCGAGCGGGGAAACCCACGCTAGAGCGGGACCTCTGTTTTCTAAAAATTCTGAAAATATTTTTAAAGTGCATCTCTACATCCTCATTTCATTTTAGGCATTCTTAGGTCTAGTTTAAGGCATCTTAATAAGAATATTGATGTAGAACCACACCGAGGCAAATTAGAGATTAATTTATTATTTCCCAACTGTGTAGCTTAGTGTGCGTTCACTCTGTAACTGTGTAGGGTTGGCATCCGAGGACGCGTACTAGCTTATCTGTAGCCCAGAACTCTATGAGTAACAATGTTATAAAGACATGTTCAATAATGATTATCTTCTGAACAATTGAATTATACTGTTTTCTGAAATGATACTGTTACTGAATGAATGATGTCCTATTTGTGAACTGTATTCGTGGCATCCATAGCAACCTACTGTTATTGTACTGTACTACTACTGTCACAGAGATCTCTGTCGATTCCCATGTTGGAACCACTACTGCTTACTGATATGATGATCATCAACTAACTGTTCGGTCTGATAAGACTTACTGTACTGTTTTGCTATTGGATGTACCACATATGACTATTATAGTTTCTGAATGACTGCTATGGCCTGAAATATGAGCCACAAACTGAATGACTGACATACTATTTAATTGACTGTTTTCAATACTGAAAGGACATTCATTCTTAACCTCTTTACGCATATGTTATTCACTGGGCTTTAGCTCGCTGCTCATATATATATATGTAGGTGTTCAAGCACCGAACCGTTGCTAGGGGCGTCAAGCTTAACTCCTGTTTTGTCAAGCCAACCTTTGTACCTCACTTTGAGGTTCCAAAACTGTTCAAGCTGAGGTTTCTTGGGGTGTTTTAGTTTTCCCCCTTTTTGTTTATGTTCTGTATAGACTGAATGATGTTGTACTGTACTGTGCTCATAGGGATTAAGTCCCTGCCCTGAATGATTGTATATATTGTACATACTATTTTGGTATTGATTGTATATATATATATATAAAGTCTTTTTGCATACAGACTGTCACAGCTCATTGGACATCTTTTAATTACTATTTTGGCTTCCGCCAGCCCCTGTACTCTGTATTACTGTATTACTGTTAAGCAGGCCTTCAGTAATCTCGGATTACTGGGCGGTTACGGTGCTAAACCCATAGGGGCGGGTTTGAGTCATGACAAAAATACAATGGACTGTTCTTATTTTTGCTAGTGTTTATAAAACTGAAACATCAGACAGTTTCATCACTCTACAAGTAACATATCTAAATTTATTCAAACTGCAAATGAAACTGCAAAATTACATAATTTAATCACTATTCAAAACAAATAGGTAACTTATTATAAAGTGCAAATCAAACTATCAAATTATGCAGTTTTGTAACTATTAACAACAAATAGATATAACTTAATATTAAACTGCATATAAAACTACAAAATTATACAGTTTTGTCGTTATATTACTCATATCCTGCTATTACTTTCATTTTTTCAAAAATAGCTGTTGAAAGATATTGGAAGAAACAAACCAACATGCTCAAAAATCCAATCAGAGATTTAAGTGTCTCCCATTTTGATAGTCTTTCACCTGTATCCACTGAAATGCCACCACCATCTCCCTCTCCACAAAAAACCCAACCACTACAACCAAAAATAACCAAAAAATCCACAAAACAACCACACTACCTACAAGAAAAAGACTAAAAACTACACCACAGACCACACCCACACAACAAACACCAACCACACCTCCAACCACAAAAAAAAAAAAAAAACAAAAGAAAGCCAACAAAAAAACAAGTAGCTCCTCCAACCAAAAAAAGAAAACTCCAAGAAAGCCAATCAACTCCCAAAACACAAACCAAGGCATCAAAAGGGAAAAAATGAGCAGTCCCTACAAAGAGAGGCCAACAGTTTAATTACCGTTCCAACATCAAAACGGTAATCAAATTGTTCAAAGAGGTCAAATTCACAACCCAAAAGACAGAGCTGCAAAAAATTCCTTTTGGGTCATTATAAATGCTCTCTTCTCAACACAACTGAAGTCCTCTTGGTGCAGATGCTACAATTCCATTGTAACAGAAATGGCAACACTCTACAACAAAAACAAAAACAAAAAAAATAGAGCATTTATACTTGGCAAAAAGGAAATGAAACTCAGAAACAGTGATATAAGGCTTATTTTTGGTATCGACTATGGAGAAGACAGCATCACCACCAAATCCTATGCAAGGCCAAAGCATTTTGAGCACACATTTTACAAACGAAGATGCAAATCAGTGAAGAGACTGGATGCCAAGTCATTGACCAAAATGTTTTAAGAAACAAAAAAAAAGAAAGAAAATCAACCAGTGACCATCAAGATCTTCCAAGGGTCATCACCCTTTACTTGTGCCTGAAACTTCTCATGCCTATAACAGGCCATACACTCAGTTAGAGTTTCCTCAACTATGTTAACAATCTCAACAACATCAAGAAGTATAATTGGGTTGAGGCAATAAAAGGCACACTGATGAATTCAATGACAAATGCAAACAACAACCCAAGGCATGTCACTGGATACATCATGTTATTCTTGGTAAACACACTACTCAACTACTTCACGTAAAAATATTAAACATCTAACTATTTCAAACTAGCTAACATATTTCAATTTTTTTTTTTATAGTACTGGTACTGCAAGCACAGTAAACTCCTCCGACCATCCAACAAAGAAGGCTTTCCAAGGTTTATGAAGTGGAACCTTAGCAAAATGTACTCCAAGTGGAAACACATTAGCCTTGCTGACTTTGAAAAGGTATTCAAACTCTTCTATACTCTCGAAGCACAGATCTATTCAATACTCATTTCACAGTCGTTATAGTAACAATCATGTTATCAAACTGTAAAAGTTTTCAGTTTCAAAGCATACACCTATTTAACACTCCTCTCACTCATGTTATGAAACCGCAAAAGTTTGCAGTTTCAACGAACAAATTTATTCAACAATCTTTTCACATTCATTAAACTAACAATCATATTATGAAACTGTAAAATTTTGTAATTTCAAAGCACAAATCTGTATAACACTCGTTCCACAGTAATTATAGTAACAATAATATTATGAAACTGTAAACTTTTACAGTTTCAAAGAAAAAATCTATTTAACACTCCTTTAACATTGATCACACTAACATTATGTTATGAAACTGTAAAATTTTGCAGTTTCAAACAACATATTTTTAACACTTAACTCACATTAATCATAGTACAAATCATGTTATGAAACTGACCAATTTTACAATATTATTGATATATACCACATTGTTCCAATCAAAGCACATCAATAGACTCTTCAGCAAAGAAACATGACCACAAAAAGGACAAGAAGCGAAACAAACAAACAAAAACAAAACAAAAAGAAAAAAGAAATTTCTAGACAATAATGAGGGCGACTTTCTTGAAGAAGAACACCAATCAAAATAAGAACAATAACAAAAAAGAAAGAAAAGAAAGCAAGAACCACAAAAGCAACAAATTGAAGAAGTAAAAAGTGATAAACAAGAAGAAGAGAGTGATGAAGAAAAATACGAGACTGAAGAAGAAGAAGAAGAAGGTGATGAACAAGAAGACACTAATGAAGAAGAAGGCCAAGAAGAAGAAGAAGAAAACAATAACAACAAACAGAACAACAAGAAGAAGTCAATGAACAAGAACTGACAGACCAGTAAGAATAGCAACTTAAAGAAAAAGAACAAACAAACCAACAAGAAGAAAAAAGGACAGAACAACAAGAAGAAAAACTCCAAGAGAAATTTGACACATTTCATGCACAAGGTAAACTCTTATCTAATACTGAACTAAACTGCAAAATTTAATTAAACTAACCAAAACAAAATCCAACATTTTTATAGGTGATGACCAAGCACAAACATCAACGAACGAGGATGACAAGAACAAACTCATAGCATCCATAAGAGCACAAATGCAAGAAATTGAATAAAAATTCATGGCTGAATTGTGTAGAAAGGAAAAGCAGTTGAAGGAAATGTACACCAAAAAAACTAGCAGTCCCCAACAAAGATCAATGGTCAAGAGAATCAAACAAAAGTCAAGAAAACGAGCATATAAGCCAGATTTTGAATACCAACCAATGACAAAAGCCAAAGAAACTATGCAGAAACAAAATGACAAAGAAGATACAAGGAACGAGAAAAAAGCTGTTATTAATGTACCTAAGCCAACAGAGAGTACTAATGAAGAAAAAGAGAAGGAGAACGAAAAGACAAAAGAAAAAATCGAAACAGAGAAAGAACCTGTTATTGAACCCGAGCCAAAAGAGGGTGCTGATGAAGGAAAAGAGCATAGGAAAGAAAATATGAAAGAAGAAATCGGCCAAAAGAAAGAAGCTGCTGTTGAACCCAAGCCAAAAGAGGATGCTAATCAAGGGAAGACACAAGTTCAAAGAGTTCATGATTTGGAAAGTGATGATGATTTTAAGGAAAAATCAATCTACGACAAGCCACTTGCCCTTTCATTTCGTAAAACAAACAAGGTTTGGCATAGTATGTCCAAAAAAGACCAGGACCAAATTCAACTCATCAACAACACACAATCAACTGCTTGTGTCTGGTCTGGCAGCGAAGATGAAAATTGCATATACTTTTCAGAAATGAAGATTGTCCAATAGGAAAGCCTTATATGGAAATGTAGGTCTTCAACTGCACAATTTTACAGTTTCTGTTCATATTCAATAACATATTCCACAAACCTAACACATTCTCATATATAACATGTTTTAGGTCATTGATGCCTTTGCAGAAATGAAATTGGCACTCCAGCCATCAATTGAAGAATTTGAGAAACATGATCTAGCGTTTGCAAGAAATCCATACACAGGAAGATCTTACATTTTCTCAACACTCATCAATATAAGCAAAACTATTAACATACCTTTAAATATTATTCAAAGTGCAAAATTTTCTACTTTCTTAACATGTCTTACTACATATTTTTATAACATATTTCAAACATATATAAATTACAGACTCCACTACAAAACCAAGATCAGGCACTGAGAGAAAAAATGATGAACAACCATTTTCCAGAAACAATGAAAAACAGATATGTCCATTTCCCAATCAACCACGACAACCATTGGACGATTGTGATCTTTGACAATGCTAATGGGATATGGAGGCACTATGACTCTTTAAGGCCAACAAAAGGATGTCGCAACAAGCATTTTGAAATTACAAAGGAAATTGTAAATTAAATAAAATTTCCTACTTAGTTCCATTCCTTTCAAAACATCTCAGCACATCACTATAACCAACAAAAACACCCACTAACTATTTTGTAGCAACAACATCAACTGAGATGGAATAAAGCATTATTCAGCAATCAAGGAAACATGTTATCATCTCAAGAGTGCGAGACAGTAATTGCATCAATTGAGAAATACCCGCAACAAACCCATACTCGTAAGATACAAACTCAATAACAAATGTTTCAATATGCTAAATTTTACAGTTTTACCTAACTAATTAACTTCATCTAAAACTTTGCAGGAATGATTGTGCAATCGCCGTCTGCAATGTTATCAACCAATATATCAACTGGCAACCTGTGCAAAAATCATTTCGACCAATTGAGTGGGTCAAATTTCAAGCAGAAATCATCAATCAATTGCTCAATGATAAGAACCGATCTTGGAATCTCGAGCACTACCAAATGTTGACAAAACATACCAAACCATAGAAACAATGAACAAAGTTCTTTACAATACAATACTCATGTGAACATATTTTTGTACTTTTTTTTTTTTTTTTTTACATGTGACAATTACTTCTTATGTTTTTGGTAATTGATCTTCTTGTGGTTATCATGGTGATAATGATTGTTATCATTGATGCTATTGTTGCTCTTCTTGTTATTATTATTCTTGTTGTTGTTCTTCATATGGTTATTATTCTTGTTTGTGTTCTTGTGATTATTATTGTCGTCACGTTTGTGGTTGCATATAAATTCATACATGACAGGTTGTTTCTAATAATTCTTAAAACTGCAAAATTATTCAGTTTCATCAGGTTGCTTCTCATAATTTTTAAAACTGCAAAATTATGCAGTTTCATCACTCAAACAAAAATTATGCTGCACAATTATGCAGTTTTATTATCGTGAGTTGTCTTCCACGCATTATAATATGTATTTCCAACATAATTCTTAAAACTGCAAGATTATCTAATTTCATGACTCAAACAAATAGATGAACTACATTTCAAAATTGTAAATGAAACTACAAAATTATACAGTTTTGTCACTACGAAATATTAAATAAATATATAATATAGTAAAATTGCAAGATTATACAGTTTCAATAAGAAATTTTTCAACAACCTTCTCAGCATTCCACAAAAATAAAACCAACCAACTCCACACACACACACACAAAAAAAAAAAAAAAAATTGTTACAAAACAACTTCAATAACAAAATAACACATCGAAAAAGAAAAAAAAAATGCAATCAACTTTATTCATTACTTCCATAATACCAAGTATCACATTTTATTATCATCATTCCTCAACTTTAAACACAAATCCAAAAGAATAGACTATAGCCTTAAATAGCAGCCTTGCACGTTTTCTTATTGTGATTCTCATATTTCAAGCACCTCCCACACTTGATTTACTTCATATTCTCACTCCTAGAAGGTATCCTCTTCTTCTTGTTCTGCCCAGGCTACTTCTTCATTATAGGAGGTTTGATAATCGAACTATCAGCACCATCAAAGTCAAATCTCTCACTTGAAGACATTGGATAAACAGATTTCTTATACGACTCTCTAAAACAATCCACACGAAAAAAAAGGATCAATGAAATTATATACATCTCTACCACTACTACGCAAAGCATGCACAGCATAACAACAAGAAAAATCATTCAATTGCCATTCATGGCAAGAACAAGTCCGTCTACCAATATCAACATAAAAAGAAATAGAAGAATGAACCTCAAGCACAGTATTACTAGCAACAATCACATCCTAAGACTTAGCTAGCTTTAAAGAGTCCACCAACTTCTTTTCCATAACTGGACACAATTTGGTAGTCCATCTTTAGATTCAGCTTTTCTATTAGGCAATTGAGTCATGATTTAAACCCTAATCATATCAACCATACAAGTAATAGGTAACTCATGGGTCCCACCAATCCAATTATTGTAAGATTCGGCAGTATTAAATGACATCTTACCATATCGTTTCCCTCTAAAAAATGCATTCGCCCACTAATCATTTTGCAAACCATCCAACATATTATCAAATCTACCATTCCCAACAATACGCCTCAATTTCTCTATATAATGTTGGAAAGAAGCAACAGTTGGCGTATAAGCACATTTAACGAATATTTTCATCAAAGTCAGCTTATAGTTAATATGAAGTCTTACCAATTTGTCAATCAAATTTCTCTTCAAATGGTTCAAGCAATATGCATGATGTGCATTCGGAAAACCACTGAAAGAGCGTCTAGCAATCCATGTTGACGGTCAGACACAAAGGTCAATCTCTGGTCTGAACCAACAGCTTTTAACAACTGACTTAAAAACCACATCCAATTATCTTGATTCAATACGCCTCAATTTCTCTATATAATGTTGGAAAGAAGCAACAGTTGGCGTATAAGCACATTTAACGAATATTTTCATCAAAGTCAGCTTATAGTTAATATGAAGTCTTACCAATTTGTCAATCAAATTTCTCTTCAAATGGTTCAAGCAATATGCATGATGTGCATTGGGAAAAACCACTGAAAGAGCGTCTAGCAATCCATGTTAACGGTCAGACACAAAGGTCAATCTCTGGTCTGAACCAACAGATTTTAACAACTGACTTAAAAATCACATCCAATTATCTTGATTTTCAGTGTCAACAATTGCAAAAGCCGAAGGAAACAGGCCCGAAAATAAAATAATATAAAATTGTAAAAATTAGTAGACTCACAATACAATAACAGAAACCAAAATCCATCAACTACCAAAACACACTGACAAACCAAAACTATATTAACTGCAAATAAATACATACCTTGATTATCATCCTTTGATGTTGCTGCAAGCAAATGTCCCTTGTAACACCCCTTCAAGAATGTACCATCAACAAACAATAACAAACGATAAAATTGAAAGCCATACAAACATTTATGAAATCCGAAAACACCCACTACTTTCATCCACATCTAATTCAAACACCCTTTCGGGATTTGTTCTCATACCCGTCTCAAGGTACCATCGAAGTTGGTCAAAAGAAGATGCAAAATCACCAAATAATCCACCTCTTGCCTTATCAACTTCTAACCATCCAACTCAACAAGAAACATCTATACCATATTGGTTTTTTAACTTTTTTTTAATTTCAATAGGACAAGTCAACGGATTATCACTAATATCATTATGCACAATATCAGGCACAAGTCTAGAACCAACCATTTTGCTATAAGATCTACGAGCAACAACCCCACAAGTATGCACATTATCCAACTTCAAAACTAAAAAAATATCGAAATTCTTCAACACACTTCTATGCACAAACCATTTACAACTCGTAGACGACTTCTTCATACATTCAGTAGTTACTCTTGTTGCATCGTTCTTCAAATAATCCACTGCAAAACCATACTCAATTGTATACTTAGCCAATGCAATGCGGAACATCGGCACTCCACCTTCAAATTCTTGACTAACATTGTGTACAATCCCCTTCCAACAAGCAGACAACATAACTCTCTCTGGTTCTAGATAAAATCTAGGCAACAAATTAACAAAATCATCATAATCGTTAACCAAAGAACTCTCACAAATTACAGAATCAATCCTAGAAGAATTATCATCAACTTCCACAATTCTCCTATCACCCACAACAACATCAACAACATGAGAACCACTACAACCTACCATTGACATCATATTTCTCAAACCATCATCACATTCAACAATACAATTAGAATATCCAGGAATAGAGAAAAACAAACAAAAGTTACCAACACTCAACTCCTTGAACTTCGCAGATGTTTTCTCAACAACTTCATGATAACTACATCCCTCACTAATCTTAATAGCAGCACAAGACTTACTGTATATGCACATTAACATGAAACACCCCTCTATATTACAAATCACAAACCACCAAACAATTGTTCACATATTCCAAACTGTAAAATTATACAGTTACAACATATTAGTATCAACACTTCACAATTCACAATTCCAAACTGTAAAATTATATAGTGTAGACGCGCCCGCGTGGGGGCCTTGCTACAGTTCAGACTCGATTTGTGTCACGGTTCTTAATCTGAACTAAAGAGTCCAAATCTGGCAAATCGTTTTGAGAAAACAGACTTTTAGAAAAGAAGTGCCAAACATGGACTGCTTTGCCAGATACAGAGTCGCCACCTAAATATTTTAAAATGGGGGAATTTAGGAAACCCTGACTCGGTGCCGAAGGCCACATGTCCGTCATCACCGGAGTTGTCTCGGCTCGGGAGCTTGGGTACGATCGGGGAAGGTCAGCTATGAGCACCCCCTTTCGCCCGGTACGAAGACCGGCCTCTACTAACTGTGATATCCGTTTTTGAAAACTTTATGTGTTCTTAAACCAATTATTAGCCTAAAATTACTATGTTATGCGCGC